CGGAAGAGTGCCAAATAGCAAACTGTATAAAGACTGCTTATTGTCTAGGGCTGAACTCTCATCTGCCTTACAAAGTGATGTCAAAAAGGGCTAAGGAGAACAGCCCTGATTATGCTGATGTCTGCTGTGATTTTACCAGATAGAACAGAACAGATGGCTCTTTCTGATAATGGTCTGTTTGAGAAATAACTTCTCAGGCTGAGGTGGCATCTTCATACCAAAAGATGGCTGGAGCTTCCTAAGACTAACTGGAGATTTCATCATCTTGAATCTTTCAGTGTCTTGCTTGTTCTTCCAGTTGAGAAAGGAAATTTCCAGAAAAAGTTGTTTTCAGTTATGATTTGTTTCTGGGGAAAGCCCAAGTCCTTGGTCAAGAGGAATGGCATGCTGCTGTCACTTTCACTGAAGCGTTCAGTGCACTGTGTGAAACTGCTGACGGATGTCTATTCCAGCCCTTCTGCATGGTTTTAGCAGCTTAGTTTAAGGAGGAAAACTCCATACAAACATAATCTCTCAGAAGCACTTCGAAGTGACTGGAAATAAAGGTAAGGACACAAGTCTATTTTACAAAATGGACCTGCCATTTTTTTTAAATACACATTTTGTACTACCTTGCTGATCTGACATGACCAGGGTTATAGATACATTTGCTTCCGATGACAGAAAAGGGGTGTACTTAAATGGCCCAGTCAGCTTTCTCATCTTACGTTTGAATGTTGTCACAGTTCATCAATAATGCACTTTCTTCCTCTTAATCTAATTCCTAAATTGCTGATCATAAGCAGCAGGTATACAAGTATACTCTCCACATTTCTAGACTCCTTCCCTAACATCTATTACTGGACACTCTTTGAGAAAAATATCAGGCTAAAAAGACCTTTAGCCTGACCATAGCATAATAGCTATGTTTTGTTCCTATGCCTGCCCTCCTGTTCAGTCCTTTGAACACACAATTATTTCTCCTTCTGTTTTGCTTTCTGGAGAAACTGGTTCCAAGAGTAACACATCTACAAATCACCAGGATACAACCTGCCTGATTAATATACATGTAAGTTAAATACCACTTGTGCAGACAGTATGTCCTTCAACCACTGTGCAATCATTCTTGATAATGATGACCTGGAAAACTCAACACTCATATTTTTAACCTGGGCCTTGATATGCTCCTAGTACTCAGTTATGGCTCTTCTTTGTCAACCATCATTTACTCAAAGTTCTTGACAGCAACCAAATCTAAGGCAATCCAGATGGGACCAGTTTCTTCCCTGCACTGTGGGTGGACAACATAGATTTACCGTTGATCAGTGAGGTCGCTGAAACTTCCTTCAGAAGGACTGTCTTAGCCACCATTAACAATCCAGCCTTCCCTGAGATAAAGCCAGCACTCACTGAGCTTTCCCTGAGAAGCAGCTTTCTCCCAATTACTGAAGACAAATAGGATGCAAGTCAGACATTTTGTTGTCATGTGATATATTCCATTTAAATTCTAATGTTCTCCCAGAACTGTGCAAGACTGCTTAGTGATGAAGTGCACAAAAAATGTACTGGCTCAGACCACACCATGCGGCTTCAAATCTACCGTCTAGAGTTAATTGATAAAGGAGGCTGGTGGAACAAATAGTCCTGCAGAAGAGGCTATGCAGCAGAAGATCTTGAGACCTGACATCTTCATCTGTAAAGATGATTCATGCTGCTGGTGAGATGCCTCTTTCCTCATTTGCCCACCATTACCACCACATAGACATGCACGGGTGAGAGAACACACAGGCTAAAGCTGTTATTGTTTAACACAGAACTGCATTCCCCAAGAGTAGAACCCTAGAAGGGAGGATTTAAAACAGAATTCTGTTTTACAATCGGAAATAAACACTTAATTGCACGTTTATAAATAATTATACTGTACTTAGTACGGATTTCAATTGCTTTTACAGATGAGAGAACCAAAGTAACTTTTCCTTAAAGGGAACAATGCTTCTTTTAGAACAAAAGACCTGTTTTGATTGCCATACTTTTTCCCCTTTTTCCCAATAGTTTTTTTTTGCTCCTCCTACACGAGCTGTGAATACGTACCGCATGGCTCTCAGTGCAGTTTTGTATGCCAATTCAGCATCATGAGGTAGGAGAGAGGTGAAGAGATACTTGGCAAACGTGTGCATTGGAACGCTCTCTCGATGGATGACTTCGCCTAAACCACTGTATGGTCCAGCTGTGTGAAAGAGAAAGAGAATGACAATCTTTACAGAGTGTTAAAACCCCCAAACTTCTGGACCTTTAAAAATATTGACTATACCTTGGAGTTATAACTGGTACTCAGAGACAGAGACTGCTGTACAAAAGTTAAAGGTATAGTGGTATTTTGGGGGAAACGCTTACATACATTACGTGCCATATAGTCTTTAAGACAAAGAGACAGAATGCAGACTCTGTATAGTAGTAAGCATACAACCAGTGCAAATATGAATGACAGAACAGTTCTAGTGCTCTGTGGGGCTTATTCCACAAGTTTACAGCATGCAAAAGCAAAAGGTGAGAATCCCTGCTTCGCCTCTGCATGGTTATAATGTATGCATGAATCCTTACATGCTGCCCAGTGGTGCATGAATACTTGATCAACATATCTTCGATTGTAGTTACATGACCAATCACTACTGCAGCACCCAATTCCTATTAATTTCACCTGACATTAGGTATTTAAATAACTCTGTGGCATGGGCTTTGTCCCCAGAGGAGACTGGGTCAGATCTTGCACTGAAGCCAGTTTTGTTAGTCTCTCACAGCTACATGGTCTTAGAATTTGTATTTGCTCTTGAGAAACTACAACCATTGCTGGGGCTACAGATTCTACTCACACTCAGTGCAGCCAGTGCACTATTTCCACTTCATAACAGCAGTGTCAGGATTGGCAAGAGACACGATAATTTAAAAAAAAAGTAAAAGCAACAATTGCCTTGTTGAATTCTGAACTTTCATGGTGCCTGTGAATCCCATTCTTACATTTTTCCTGAAACCTTGAGGCTGTTATTTCTGTTAATAGGAGATTTGTGTCAGGCAGTTTTTGACTTCAGCAGTTAGAGGTTTAGGCATTAAATGTTGAAAGATACAAGATAAGAATCTTAAACTAAGTATTATAGGACAATTATTGAACAGATAGCAGCCGGGAGTTACAGAATTTACTACAGGAGAAGAACTTCCTCCTCTACTAGAAATTTCAGCCCACCATGCTTGGTTGGATGAATGACTGTGTGAGCACACTTCTTCTTCACTGCAGTCACATGTGTCATTTAAACAGCCTCCAGCGGCGATTCAAACTAACATGGACAACCCTACACTGAAGCAGATGAGGAGTACTCACACAACTTATTCAGCCACTTCTGCTGCAGAGGGTGATGAACTTCATGAGAGGCAGTAACAACTTAGACCAGTACAGCAGTTTCGGCAATATTTTTCTGACTGGTGCCTTAGCACAACACACACAAATAGAAATCACTAAGCTTGAAAAAATCTTAACTCCACAGGTGGATGTTTCTGAAGACCAGGGCAGATTACAGAAATGTCACTGAAGACTTAATAGGTGACATACTGTGTCTCATATAATGATTGGAAATGAAGTTCAAAGCCATTCAAAATTATCTGGCATTGCTTCAATGAAGGAAGCCATTTCATGTATGTTTGCCAATTGGTGGTCCAGTCAGAGACATAAGTTAGGACATGAGAAATGCATGACAAAGCATCTCTATGAAAATACGTTCTATCATTAACATAGTGGCCAAGCAAAAAATTAAAACAGAACAGTTCTCGCAACACAATCTGTCTTCTGCTTTCCCACGCATTCAAATGGTAGTTACACACAGTACACGTTAAGCTACATTAACAACCTAGAAATCAGCTTAATATTGGATTAAGTTCTCTTTATTATATCTACAGGACTTTTAACTATGAAAACACAATTGATATGATTAGGATCTTAAATCACTGTACAGTGTTTCCTCCCTGTGAGCTGACAGTTTCTTCCTGACCTGGAGTAAACTGAAGCTACTGCAGGAAGGCCAGATTTATTAGCATACAGTAATGCAATACCCTCTTCACGTGCTTCTCAGCACAACTATTTCCTAGGCAGTTACTTCAGCAGATTCCCTGCTATGTTCACTTGTTTACTACTCTCGGCAATCATGAAAAGAGTATCAGCGGTCAAAGTAGTAAACTAGAAGTATCACGGAACACTTGAGATAAATCCTGCTTTTTCTTCATCAAGTATCCTTGATAGTAAATAAATGCAGCAGATTGATTCAATAAACCAAAGGACACGGTAGTTGTTAATAGCTGGATCCAGAGTAGCTGTTCTTGTGCAAAGGCCGTAAAACAGCAGTAGAGCTTCACCATAATGGAAACTCTCCCTGTGGCGCAGCTTCTCTGAAGTTTCAAACAGTTTAGGGTTCTCAGCTTTGGGTCACTATTACTGACCAAAGTCTTTAAGGATCCGGGCAGTAACAATGACTCAAAGCTGAGAACCCTAAACAACATACTGCATCTCTTCTATTAAAGAAGAAGTTTTAAAAGACACATTTCTTACAGAAAGCAAGCAAAAATTCTCTGACTGGTATAACAGTGTTCAAAACTCACCTAGAGGACTATTGCACTCTCCAGCCTCCCTTGAGCTAGCACTCAAAACTTGGACCATGATTTGGATTATTTGATTCCTTTAAGTGTTTTCTTCCATTTGAAAAACAAAAACTAGAAAGAGACCCTCAGAACCCACAAGACTACCCTCTGAACAGGAGACTTAAGTACTACATATTAAGACCTTTTTAAAGCTAAGGCAAAGGCATGCAATTTTTTCCACTCATTTTACAGAAATCCATTATGATGATTCCAAGGCATGAGCTGTTTGTCTCAATCAAAATTTAGTCACAAGATCAGGACCTAAGCCACAATATTTCACCATATATTTAGATTTTCATGTACGATGCACATCTTTTTAATTCCTACAAAAAAAAAAAAAGTTGCATTCCTGTCCCAGCAATTGTAAGTGAACTCCTCGGGGTTTTTAGCTGGGAACAGAGATAAAAATCATCCTTTTACAAAGTTGCCAATGTCCCTTTTCAGGCTAATAGTGACATTCAGAATTTTGCTACCTGAGAATTGTTGTTAATCAATGTCTTTATTAATTAATTGTGGGCCTGAGTTGTATAATTAGGACACTGAGATCATGACGAGCATGAAATCTAAAGAATAAAATGCAATAAAAATTAAAATCAAGGGCCTATAGGTCAGTTGATGCCATATCTCTATGGGCATGTGACATTTGAAGTGTATTAATTTTTATAAGAGATTGGTAAGGCAGTTCTGCTGGCGTTCTACTTTAAAAAATAACTTATATAAGTCAGCTTCCGCAAGAATGCTAGTTCTGTGGGGTTTTGTAATTGAAAACAGTTTAAAGAAGCAGTTAGCATCTATATTGAGCTACCTTCTAATAGGAAGACTGCTTGTTTTCGAAAAATCTTCACCAGAGTATCATCCAATTCAATTTCCTGTAGCTTAGAAATGAGCTGCTCCTCATTTCGACAAACCTTCTCTTGTGCATACAAGCCATCTGGCATTATTCGCTGCTGTCCCAGCCCTATCAATGCTACTTCCACAGCCAGCGTTAAATAAGATTCCCCTTCTTCTAAGAACTTATGTGCAGGCAGGTGCTGGTACTCCAGAGATTTGCATTGCCCCATGTTCTCTGTAGAGGGTGACACAAAAAGAATAACACATCAAAAAATCATTCTAATCCATAATCTGCCTATAATCCCACATTTGCAAATGCTTCCTCTGTCAGCATTTAATTTTTTTTAATGATTTAATTGACTATATGAATCAAGATTCAATGATCCACTGTAAACTACTCAATCCAATTCCAGAAGGCAAAAATACAAAAAATTACAAAATAATTACGTTTTTTTAAAAAATCCACTAAAAAGTTTTCATAATTAAGCTGCATCATTTAGAGAAAGGCAGTTTCTTTAGGTCTGTTTTAATAAGGTCAAAATTGGAAGATCCATTTCAATTTTTTGTTTTCTCTGCTCATTTCTGGATGTACTTAAAAGCCTTGATGTTGCATACAGTGGAAAGGGAAGGTTGCTCATACATCTGCATAGGTTCCCGTTGAAGTTAGGATTGTGCAGATACAATAAGCCTTGGAACTTCATGACTTTTTAGCATCCTCCACTCGTCGGAGCTCTGTTTAGGCCTTTTTTTAAATTAAATGCTACAGTTGTATTTATGATAAACAAGTATTACGTTTCTGAACTTTATTTACACTAGAAGTCTTACTTTTAGTAAACATTACTTGCAAATTCCACACAGACTAAGTCATAAATTGCTTTAAGGAGTACTATTGATTCATTTTGCATTTTACAGATCTACCACGTGACAAAATGCTATTCCAACCTCTAGCAGCTTACAGTCTAATTTGGGAACAAAAAGAGTTATTGCAGATAGATGTAATGGAACAGACAACTGCAGCCAATGAGAAGGCAGAACGCATCTGGTAGACTGTGTGTGCAGAGGGAGGTTACTTTTCAACATATACTCTTTTAATTTCATGTGTTCTTTCCTAATTGCAAGTAATCTGATTTCTGTTACTTTAATTAAAGTTATTCCAGAAGTGGTGGACATAGCAGCTTATTGAAGAAAACCTAACTGAATAAAATGAACTTTGAGGCGAAGCCCAAAGAGGAATGGGGATACGCATGTAGAAGAGCTGTAGGTAGAGGGCTGAATCCAGTTTCTGTCCACACAGAAGGCGATAAGAAACTATGGTGGAGATGGAAAGAGAGAGAGGATAAGGTCTGAATCAGTTAAGCTCCTGGCAGGCAAACACTGAAATTAAAATGGGCATACACATCCTGTCCTAAATCATGTACTAATTCTGCAGCACTACCTTCCAATTCATATTCTTTAAAGACCCAGTAGGTCATCACTTTTAGAGTATTTTCTGTAATTTCTCAGAACAATAACAGAGTAAAGCATATGGCAAGAGTGGCTGCTATGAAGTTTTATTTGGTTTTACTTCAAGTGTGAAATACAGAATTTTCTTCAAGAATGAATTCCTGGTAATTTTTGAAGTGTGTTTTCATATAACGTAAAACAAAACTTTACTTCAAACATTTTCCCTCCCTCATGTTTTCTTAGGGAATGAGAATGTGAGCTCCTACACTGTATGAAAACACTGGCTTCAAAGTTAAATCTGAACGGAAAAGTACAAAAATGCCTCTGGTTACTCAAGTCATATAAAAGATAGCCCCCTTTCCAAGGTCTTACCTGGGAAGTCTGAGAATCCATGGAAGCTCTCATCATCCACCCGGCAGGCTTCCATCAGGCTACTGAAGAGGGTGCCGATCGGATCCAAAGGGTGTCCCACCCAACCTTCAAGGTTCGTTATTGAGGTTACTCCTTTGTGGAGAAGTTCTGTTTTAGGAAAAAGGAGGGGGCGTAAGTGGAGCGAAGGTGAATTTTAGCCACTCAAAACAATAGAGAAGTAAAACTGATTAAAATACTTTCAGTACAGCATTCAGAGTATTCTCAGTAGCCTCTGCTTAGACGGGGAAAACAATATCTTTTAGGTTAAATTCATTGCTCTTCGTGATTATGTTAAAAGAGGAAAAAGAACGAAGGCCAAACATCATGTAAACACTATCAAAGTCCATTAGGGGTCAAAAATTTCAACTGCAAAGTCATTTGAAATCTCTTACTAGATGCCACTAAGTATTCTGAAAAAGTTTAGTAAAAAATTACAATTTACTTTTTGCAGAATTCTACCACTCAAAAGTTAACAGTACCATTTATACATTTTAAGCAAATCTGATGATCCTAAGAGAAATACATGAAAATACTTTAAAATATGTTCCACTGCCATAAATAATATATGAGCTTATGTTGCATCTAACTATTTATTGAGATAATAAACTCAGAATAACAGCTCCTTTAAAAAAGGATAAAAAGTTTCAATGACGTATACGAGAAGAATTTGTCCTTTAAAAGGATCAAGTGTGTTTTTCGTTAATCTAAAATTTCAGTCAACAAATATCTACCAAGATACTTTGTTCTGCAGCCCTCATCAATCAGTCAGAACATGAAAAAAATTACTGTTTAGCACAATGAATTGAAGGAAGTATGGCTGTGGTAATAGAGGTTATAGGTTTCCCAAATCCCCTTTTTATGAGCAGTCTCATGACAGTAGCTCCCCTTTGACTCCAATTCTCAGCTTGTTTCCCCTAGACATGTATACACTGCTGAACTATGACAGATCAGCTGCATTATGGGTGACCATTTAAAAACTGTGTACAAACCCTTACGGATGCTTTGTTTCCCTGCCTCCTACAGACTAAAACGTAGCTGCCTCTGTCCTCTCTTATTCACGAAGTACCATCTTTCTGCGTAACCACATTTAATACCACAAAGCCTTAAAACACTAGAAAGCCTGCTTCTTATCTATTTAAATGCGTGGGGCTACATAATGAAAGAGCTACTGAGCTGTTGAACTGAGTGCGTGTTAAGGAGGGCTTTTTTTTGGAGAATCAATTGATATGGAATACGAAAACCAAACAAGTGAATCATCCTCTTACTAATAAATAGCATGTGCTAAAGACAGAAGCAAGTAATATTAATAAAAAAATTAATCACACTGTCTTGTTACTAACTCCCTTATAGTCTGTTTAATCTGCTATGTCTGCTTATGAGCTTCACTTGTGTTATGACAAAGACAGGCTTCAGTCCTCCATACATAAACACATACACACATTTAAATCATGCAAGTGGTTCCATGGGCTTCATATCACTCACATGAATAAAAGCTAAGCAGAAGCACGTGGTGCTTGCTGAACTGAAACCTAGAGCTGGGCTGCAGATACATGGTAGAATTCATCTGCTTAGAGATGACCAACACGTTTTGGGATATTAAAAGAATATTTTAAAAATTCCAAACGTAAGAGAGAACACAAAAAAAACAAAAGCAGAGTGACAACAGAAAAATGACAAAGGTAGGTGGGACCACGTTTCATACACTCCATCTTTTATTTGCAATACGGTAACATTAGTTGACAGTTATAGAAACTGTTCGCAAGGAAAAGGAACTTAACAGAGGTGCAATTAGCAACTGGGAATAGAAAGCAGCGCTACTGTGACCAGCACATTTCCTACAGGACACCAGCAGATCCTTCACACAGCGCCAGTGTGAATAGCATCTGTGTATGTGTGCCTATGTATGCATATGTTGAACAGTGCCTGTTCGATGCACAGACACACACACACACACACACACACACACACACACCCCTTCCCCAACCTGAGAAGCTCGAAAAGCTGCAAAGCTATGATATGTTAAGGGAAGACATGTTACATGATGAAATAACGCAGAAAAGTTCTCACAACTGCTTTTAAGTTTTGTTTAAATCTGGGAACCACAACAAAGCACCAAATTTCTGTATCTGTACTTTGGGTGCTGGGAAACAAAAACGGACGCACAGAGGAAGTGCCAGATACTTTTTTTTTTTTTTTTTTTCAAATCAAGTGTCTACCTTGTCTTCACTCATACCTCCAGATGTCCTTTTCTATGAAAGCACCTGCACCTACACTTAAAAAAATTACACGCACGACTGCACACTGGTATTTTTGCTTACAATGCATGAGGATACACACAAGTTAAGAGTAGCAACCAAGCTCGAAAATAAAATTAGAATGAAGGTGTTCTTGCAGTAGTTGAGAACATAATTCATCTTTTCCCATGCACATAAACATATAGCCACACCTTTCTTCCTCCGCTACCTCAAAGTTACGACAAAGTCCAATGTGGGATTATTTTGGTCAGGAAGAACCACATGGCATAGAAACTATACGCAAAGGAGAACATTCCTTCAAAAAACAGGGGTAGCGCTCATCAGAGGAGCAACACAAGACATGCTACGAAACAAGTGTTTCAAAAACTCCTTTTCAGTGACGTCAATCCAGTTCCATTCAGAAATAGCAAAATTCTTAATATCCTAAGAGACTCTGCTGGAACAAACGGCCAAATTCGATGCGTTTCTGTGTGCAGACTTTGCCTCGGTATTACCCTCAACGTCAACCTAGGCTTCCATCTCAGAAATACATAGCTTAGCTAAATTCTACTTGAGAAGAAAAAATGATTTTAAATACCTGACATGCCAAATACAAAGCTCTATTTAACAGCTTACAAATTACACAGGAGGCACATTTACACTGTGTAACCAAACACCCAGATTGGGATAAAGGCCTAATCACGTTAGCTGTATTACAGACAGCACAATAGGGTCCTTGCCCTGAAGAGCTCAGAACCTAACTAAAAGAAAACCTCTGACATCCAGAACGTTACGTTACCACTACGATCATGTGTAAGGAAGAGTTATAGTCAGCTCTTTTACTTTAGTTTCAAAAATAGTTTTCTTATGCAAAGTTCCAGTCTAGTGCTACTGACACCTTGTGCTGCACTTGCCCGTCTCTCTTCCCCACGTTTACCTTTCTTCTGAGCCCGGAACATTTCCAGCTGTTTCTGCTGCTGCCTTCTTAGTGTATTAACAATAGCTATTGCTAGCCTCAGTGCTTCTCTTGGGTATCCATGAGATCGTAACGCATCCACCCTCGCACAGGCTGTAGGAACATGTTCTAAAATGGAAAAAAAGAATTGAGGAATAGCAACGCTTCCATGTCTGCAATGGCCTGTTTTGCTAGGTTACTCAAAAGGGCTTTTTTGTTTGTTTTTTTTGTTTTAAAAACCATGCAAAAGAGACTTAAAAGACTACTTCTGAACCAGCATTTCAAGGGAGCCTCTGTTCTTTTTGCCAGGCTTTTCATTCATCTCCCCACCATCCCCCCAAAATAATACCATAGAAACAGAACAAAGCAGCAAGTCATGGAAACGTCTTTCCGGTTTAGCCACTTACCATGCCAGAGGGGCCACCCATGAGAGTCAAAGAGCGAGTTTTCAGTGTCGTCATGGTAACAGTAGTTGGTGTATAGGTCACTGCTGATAATGTGCTGTAAGTGGCTGTCCTGCCAGTGAAGATCGCACGCCTCAATGGCTCGAGTGAACACCGTCCGATGTGGCCTGTTCGATGAATCTGTCATTTTCACAAGTTCAGAAAGCTGCATCAGCTTTTACTCATTCATATGTGAATAAGTCATTCACAGTATTCTTGTCTTCTGCCTATTCACCAGCCCCCAACTGATGGTAGCCTGCTTTGCCCCCCTCTGCAAGGAGCAGGCTGCAGATGACATTTCACATCCTATTACCAAGCAGATCAGACGAAGTGTGCGCCATTCACTTTGCATTCAGAAAGACAGATCTACAAAACAGTAAGACTAATACCAAATAGGACTTTGCAAAGGGATCAGCTAAAGATGAAGGACATTCAACAGCGTGTACGCAACACTCCTAAAAAATAAACTGTAAAGTATACGGCATACAGCTACTTCAACAGTCCCAACTTCTCTCCTTCTCAGACCCAGAACTCAGACCCATAGCTGCTAGAATGAGCTGCTAGAATGGACAAACATTACTTGAGGGATTTTTATTTGCTTTCTTTGAGAAGTGACATTAACTTTGAGCACTGGTATAATTTTGTGTCGTAAACACACAAATTCTGCAAAGAAAAGGAGGTACTAAAGCCATGGAACTAACATAATCCCCACTGGATTTGCCATCTTCCTAGGGCAAAAGCAGTCTGCTGACGTGGCCTTGCCTACGAATGTTGAGATGCCATGTCAGAGCTGCCACTAGCCTGCCCAGGTTGGGCTGAACGTCAAGAGATCCAGATAGAAAAGCGCTGCTGCAGGGCGTTACATGCTGAATGAAGTTCTGTACCCAGCTAGCTGTGCGATTTAAAAAGGAACTAAGTTTAACTACTCCCTTCCAACGTAATTTTCTAAGAAAAAGAAACAAGGAAAAATCTTTGTAAGCCCATACCTGCCACGTTCCACAAGCGTTTAACTTTAAAGCAATTGTATGAAATACATATCCAAATATTATTGCTATGAGGGTGTTTTTCCAGTTAAATATTCTGTGTCTTGCTCAGCTAGCAAAGTAGCAATTGTTACTCAGAGAGTACTAAACAGGGCTTCCGTCAGATTTGCTGATCCCGTTTTAGATTAGAAAGAGCATGATATTGAGTAAGAAGAGACGCCTCCTCCAGGAAGGCAGAGTACTGCCTCTGCATCCCACCACACACACCTGGCAGCGCAGAGTGCAAACCACAGAGCACAGCCCACAAATAGCTGCTTTAGCTTCTCGCACGCCCAATTTAAATCAGTTGCAAAAGATCTCTCTTTAAATAGGTATCAAAGGCTTTGTAACTGCAAACAAAATGAAAACCCCAACACCGGAAGGGATATAAGATTATAGATCAAGCAAAGAAACAACAGGCTTTTATATGACATACTTCAAGGACATCTGATTTTCATGCAACAAATATTTAGAAGGACTAAGTGAAAAGTTAGAAGACCTAACTGAACACAATTACTTGCTTTGAAAACACTGCAGCCCCAGCACAAAAATCTATCTATTCTTTCTGCAAGAATAGTATTAGTGAAAATAAACTGACACTTGGCTGGTCAATCCTCAACAAGAGAGTTACTTGTCCTGGGAAAGTGCTGAATTCTGCAAGGCTAGAGTACATAAGATAGAGGTTATATTATATGTTGCAGTCAGTGCATATGTTTAGGCTCACCTTGGTTAGCATTTGCACCCTGAGGCAAAGCATTGGTTAAATTGGGCAGCTCGTTTCCATGGTTTCCATCTTCCCAGGGACAAACATCCACACTGTTCCATTTTTTCAGCTGTTTTAGCCAACTGGCCTTCTGCTCCAACTTGCAGTGGGGATTTAAGACTATACACATCCACAGAGCACCTGATTTTAAAAAAATGGCTAAATTATGTTTTCTATTAAAAATGCAGCAGCCAATGACTAATTGCAAACTTCTATACTGTAATATTTTTTCTCCCCTCAAAAGCTACACTGCTTGTTTCCCAGATAAGCCTGACAGCAGGTAGACTGAATTCCTGACTCTGAATCTTGGAGATAACGTGGCCAGTCGGAAGTAGCTGGAAGACTGTACCAAGCCAACTTTCTTAACCAAAAGGCATTAAGTAGGTCTTTACAATGCATGGCTCATCAGACAGGAATATCAGTCAAAAGCAAATAAGAACTTGCACATAGTTACAGAAGGAAATTAGCCTAGCTTTTCATCTAGTTTTTGTACCCAAAGTAAATGTTGTTTTCTAAGAAAAATAACTATATATTTTCCAGCTTTGCATTGCAGAAATCAAATAAGTGCATTAGTAAAACATGAATTTTGTACACATACATCCATGCTCAAAACCCAGCAGAAGTACTGCTCATCATATAATACGTTTTCAATCACATCTGGGTCTCAGAGACCTAGCAAGCACTGTTTTGTGCAGTCTAATAGGAATAGACATTTTTACTGCAATTACTTCAGTAATTTTGTTACATTGAAAAATTTGTTTTACATTTTCTCTTTACAGAGCTCTAAGGGAAAGCTAATTTGCGCTGACACTTCACACATACTATCACTTTAGAATCTGCTCCCTGACACTGCATAACAGGGCAGGCATAAATACATCAGGGTCTCTAGCAACAATTTTCAAATGGAAAGGTTTTTCTCTAAATCTGCTGTCTCTTCACCAGCGTGAACTTTGACAGAAGCATAAAGATGTCTGAAAGTGCTATTTAGCAACAGTTCATTTGCTCATTAAGAATGTACTTTTACACTATAAGAGATTCAGAGAATATGCTTAATCTATGAGATCTCCATGACAGGCTGAATAAAATAAAATAAATACGTAGCTGGCTCATGCAAGAGAGTAAAATTCTCACATTCAAATATAATTTTGCTAAGTAAGAACGCAATATGGATACCCATAGCACAGGCCATCACATTGCACTCATTCCTAAAGTAACTCAGCATGTCGGTATGCCACAACGCCGGAGCCAGTGGAAACAGAGCTTGATCCTTAAGGCTGTAAGTCTCCAGATATTCAGACTGACATAGAACGGGGAAGTAATACCAAAGAAATCTGAAAAACACTACAAAATGAGACGTGTGGAACACCAGAGAGACACACTACCCAACTGCAGATTACTGCTGCGCTGTAGTTAAATACAGGAGAGCAAAAATTTTTTAAGAAGCTGAAACTTGCACTTTAACTGTATAAAACCAATACCATTTTTTAAAACTTCTTTTAAAGTCAAGTCATATGACTTCGTTTAGAAACACTCTTCGACAAGCTTCACCCCCCTCCAAACAGAGGGAAATTACAAAAGATAATTTTTTTTATTATTAAGCATCGATGCATTCAGTACTGCCCAGGCCAGAAAGAATATATGTCTTGCAACGTGCAAAACAAAACAGAAGATGTGGCAAAAAGGAAAAGGAGAGTCTTGGAGAATAGTTAACTTGGATTTATTTATTTATTTTTAGAATCAAGTATTACTTGAGGGCACTGAGGAGACAAACCAATCCTCAGTATTAAAATAGTAATAATTAAAAAGGAAATTTAATACTTTGTAACCAGATTGCCAGTGTTTCCAGACTGAAGCAAAGGAAAAGTGGAATATTTTAAATATATTTAATAAGCATTTCAAATTATTCAGGCAAGACAGGACACACACTACTGATTACACAATGCCCCCTACAAAATGAGTAGCCTTTCATTTTTCTGCATCTCAGGTACACCACTAGAGGCAAAGGAATTTCCTTGTTTTCTCCAGAAGGTCTGCTATGCATGCAGTACATCAAAAAGGCAGCAAAGGGAAGAGATATCCCAAAGTACCCAAATTCTTTAAAAACTTTCATTTCAAGAGGAAAGCTATGCCAAGTATAACCCCGTTGATAGCAGCTATTGTCTCAGAAACCTAGGCTATTTTTATGCAAACGATGCACGAGGGCAAGTGTATTTATAATAAACCCCATACAAAACACTTAAAATTTCAATAGAGCCCAACTGCACTCTGCTCCCAGTGCCTCCAGTGTGAGCTGTGGGCACGGCTGAGCTCTTCGAGGCCCTCACACAGCTTTCAAGGCTGCCCGATTCCCTGCAGGAAGAGGAGCGCGAGACAAAACTCCCCCGCTAGAAGAGAAGGGAACAGAAAGAGCCTCGGGCTTAGCTCCCGTAGCACTACAAAGGCTACCATCTGGGAGAAGGAAGCATAATGCCAGTGACCCCACAGTCCTCAGCTTCTTTGGGTTTCTGTGTGTGTTGGGTTTTTTTTTTGGTTTTGTTTTGTTTTTCGCATGTGTGTATTTGCCTGTATTCTTATTTCTTCCTCCTTCTCCCCGAGTGCCTTCCCCCAACCCCTGACATCTGCTCCTTTCTGGCTCTTTCAATTCACTGGTTCCTGTCCTGCTTCAAGCACTGAAAAGTCTGAGGAAAACGCTCACTTGTGCCCAGATTTTACCACACGCCAACTGGAAGGAGCCTGGAGGATATCTTTCTATTTAACTCTTATGCTGCTTCAGTGGAAGGCCCCTTGAGCTGTCCTTTAAATGTCACCACCAACCTGAAGGCTTTTACTGGCCTCAGCCAAGGAGTCTTTTTTGTCTGCCTAACGGCTCCTATACTGGGAAACTGCTGATCATGCTTATCCCTTATTACAGAAAAGGGTCATGGAAAAACCAAGGGCAGCTACTTGTAATTTGTGGGGAAACATATCTAAATCAATTTCTAGTGACTTTAATCTGGAAATTGCTGTTCACAACAATCTACACTCAAAAGAAGTTCCCCAAAATACATTCCTGGCATTTTCAAGTAAGTTCACCTGTCTGTCCAGATTTCGTGATGTCACCAAAGCCACTCACAATATGAACAAACATCTCATTAAAGGAAAAAATATAGTATGAATACGTTTGTGTTTACATATTTTATTTTTATCTCTAAGACAGTTTTCTCTCTTCCTCCTGTCTCCCTCTCCCCTCCAGGCATTAGAGATCTTTTCATACTAGATCCTAGAAGTCTGAAACACTCCTCCCCGGAACCACATGCTACTCAACCAAAAGTAAAGTTTTGATTTGGATCCTTTGAGCGTGCAGTGAGGAATTGCCTGTTTTGGTTCAACAATAATCCTCTTGACCTGGAAAAAGCAGCTTTGCCAAAACAGACCTTAGGTTAAAACAGCCCTCTTTTTGAAAATGCACAGTTATAATTCATCTTTAGTTCATCTCATATCACAAAAAATAGGTTCCACTATAGCTCTATATAGCGCATGCCTTCCTTATACATATAGGCGGATGTCAGTACGTTTGTATTTCTCAGTAGACATCCATACCTCTGAATTCATGGGGAGAAAGGGAAGGCATGCTTTTCTACTGATTAGAATTTAAACATGCAGATTGAAAAACATTAAAAAGTGTTCAGTCACTGTAAAAGTAGGTGTTGTAATAATTACACATTCTGTGTATGCATGTATTCATTGACCTAAAGGAAGTGCAAGGAATGTATACAGACTCTCCTTAGAGATTAAGCATTGCTTTGTTTTCATAAATCCCATTATATTTTCTTCTTGCCTCAGTAAATGTGGAGGGGGGAAAAAAACAACCCTAAACCACTAGCTTTAACAGGGGTTAGGACGCTGAGTGAGAGTGAAGATTCAGTCCACGATTCTGTTTGATTACAATCCTCCCAAGAAACCTGTTTTTCCTTGAAATATTATGATGTATTGTCAGGGTTGCTATGTAGATTAGCTGGGGTCAGCATCTCCTCATTTATAATACTAGCATAATCAGTGGCTGAAACTTGGCCTTTGCCTTAGATGTTTACATTTAATATACTTAAGATCAATATGTTCATTTGCAAAATTGAAATAAGCAAGCTATGGATGCACATCTACTTTGGTATTTCTTTGCTCTTCCCATTAATCCAAATCTGTTATTTACAAAATAAAACCCCATAAGCTACCAAATTAGTAGCACTCTATCCTTTCAAAGAAAATGGAGCCAGGTAATCAAGATCATTTCCTTTGTGCAGCAGACAGATCAGCTTCAGCACTGCTGCACACTTGCCACTGCGCCCCATTTGAGCCTCATCAATTCTATTACAAAAGCATCATTTTACAGCATTGAAAGTGCTAGAACAGAAACAATAATAGGAGACGGAACCTATGACCCCTTTAAAATAGAAGTGTCAGCCAAGGACCTGAAAGTGGTTTACATCTGGTTTTTAAATACATACGCAATTTCACCGGGATAGCCACTTGGAAACCTCCAAGAAGGCCGTATATGATATTTACTGCTTCTCAACAAGAAGGACAAGCACCTTCAGAATGACTGGCAAAACCACCTCCCTCCTCCAGGCACTGAGAGATCTCCATTAGAACAAAGCATAATCAGAAGTCCCACTGGAGAATGCTCCAATTAAACAGTTGCTTTTATGGAACAGTGAAGATAGGCAAAGCACTTCAGTGCTGTTCTCTCCTCGATAAGAACCCCAAGGAAAAGTATTCTTAGTATTCAGTTGGATCTAAGTTGCAATTTTATTCATAAAAACAATTCCTTAATGCACTCTGGTTTCTCGATGTAGCCTTCAGAAAAAAAAAAAAAAGCCTGCTATGGGTGCTGTGTTTCTTGGAGAACAGAATGTTTCATTTTGCTCTAATTCATTCTATTACTGAATTAAACTTTGATGTATTGGTCTTGACAAGTGCTTCATGCTGATTGTATTGTGTATGATAGTATAATCACTCCCCATGCATTTCACACTAGCTGGCTGATTAATGCAATAGATTACCTGCAGCACTGATGGCAAGGGGGAATCATTGCCCTTCTGCACACTGAACTCTAAATGTGCGTTAGAGGGAGCACAGGTGTAACGTGGAGACAAAAAATTTCTAGT